AGGCTGCCGCCCCCTCCCAGTGACAGGCTGCCCCAGCACAGGCTGCGTCATGGCCACCTTGGGTGCAGTCACCTGCTGGGGCGTGAGGTCCTCCACAGCTCGCCCAGCAGGTTTTTCCCCTCTTAAATGTGTTTATTTGCAGAGGCACTGGTTGGTCTGGCCTTGGCCAGAGGCGGGTCCAAATTGGAGCCAGGGGAGCTAGAAGCCTCTTACAGGAGCCACGTCTGTAGCCCCCTCCCCTGCTACCAAAACCCTGCCAGACACAAACCCAGTACAGCAAGTTACTTCAGGAACTTGATGTTGTGATGCCATATTCTTTCTCACTCGCTGTTGCTGATTGTCCTCTGCAAAAGGTCTTCGTCCACCCATTTGATCCGGAGAAGTTGTTATAGTTTATGTCAAAGTAACTCCAGTGACTCTATTATTTTGAAAGCAAGAGAGTGTATTTTTGATAATCTGCAGTGGATCTTCATTTTAAATAAAATTGTCATTTTTCTCTTTACCCAGTCACCGATTCTTTTATATTTGGAATCATGGAAATTACATGTGGGAAATTCACTATTGCAAATTGTTCTGTGTTCTTGGTATACCTTGAAGATATTTTGCAGGTGACATCTACATTTGGATAGGCAAGATAAATATTACTTAAAACATCCTGTTTCTTTTAAGGGTTGTGGCTAAGCAGTGTGACTGAAGCGTGCAATTTTCTCGTAGTGTTCTTGGTTTTGTTTTGGGGTTTGTGGTATCAGACTACTGAGGAATAACTTAAGGTGCAGAACTTCTGGTTTTAAATATGCAAACTGACACGATCAGATAGTTACTGTAAACAATGTTTTTAATACCTTTCCTGAAATATTGGGAATCTGTTGTTCAACTGATAGTTTATTTGTCTTGAAAGGAAAACACAGCTCGCTTTGTCTTCCAGACTGAGCAAGTTGTATCGAGGAATAAAGAAGTGTGGCAGCTCAGACTTTTGCAGGCAATCCAGAAAATATCCCAGGTATTTCTGAAAGCAGTGATCCAGGTCTCCCACGTGCCAGTCTGTGTCATTTGGCCACATGACGCAGGAGTGGAAAAAAGCAGTTTTGACATGATATGAACAGAATTTGTCCAGCTCTTTTGGGTATTTCATCTTGAGTTGCTCTAGAAGATACTTCAGAAGCTTAAGACAACCTTTCCTGTTGAATAAATAAGAATTGATTAGGTACCTTCTACATATTTCTAAATACGTATTTTAGATATTTAAAGACACACTATTCATGAAAGTAATAAAAATGTTCTTACTCCAGGAAAGGAAATGCTGCTGCCTTCCTGTGGCACGCCACGAGGGGAAGAGGTGGAGGGAGTTTAATGCCCCGCTAGGTAGGGGCATAGCGTGCCTGATGATGTTCATAAAGCAAAGGCAAAGAATTTATGCATTAGTTCTCTCGTGACTTTGTACGAGGTGTAATTAAGTAAATGAAGTTGGTTTGCCATTAAGGAGGTCGTGTTCCTCCTGTGCGTTTGGTTCTTTCTCTTTGGAGAAATGTGGAAAACAGTTTTTACTGGAGTGAAAAATCACATTTGTCCGTCCATTCAGCAGTGCTTTTCTCACAGTCGTTTAAGAAATTGCCATGGTACAAAGTGTAATTTTGCTCACAAAGCTGAGCCGTCAGACTGCTAAACTGGCTCTTCTAAACAGGACCGAGTTTGGGAAAGATTATTTAACAAGTCGCATCTTTTTCCTTTCAGAGGCAAGCCTGGAGTGTAAACCTGCACTTGTGATGGTTCCACTTCTCGCTGAGTCAGCACAAGGCAGGTGTTGCACTGCTGTAGAACAACGGTGCCTAAAGGTCTTATTCTTGCCCCCTGTTACAAGTAATTAGATCAAGTTCTTAAACTGAAACAGTGCCAGACAGTGCCGGCCTGGCTCATGCAGGCTCAAAGCAATTTTACTTTACTAATACTTCATGAAGTACGAACCTGCAGCACTTCAGCCCGTCAGATTCACAGCACGTCTTTGACTTGCCGTGGTTGTTCAGCATGGCCTTCTCGATGTGCGAGAAAGAGAGTCGCCAGGTATTCCCTGAAGTGGAGCACAAGATTGTTAAAAGCAGTAAGTACCTGAGTCTGTAACTAGAAAAAGACAGACACTATCATTGACTTAATTTTAAATATCAGCAATTCCTTTGCACTTTAAAAAAAAAAATATTCTTCATTCGGTGACTACAAGTAGTTAATTCCTCCTTAATTCGCCAGCTGTTCCACACAGAGACAATTAGAATGTTATTAATATAGGACAGTTATTTATTTAGCTGCTTCACCTATATTCTTAAGGATGTTTGGATTTACTTTAAAATTAAGCTTAATTCTGAACTTCCCTGCATTTGTTCAACGTGATTTGGGAAATTACACTACTCCTAGAATTCTACTACCTTCAAATTTCTGGCTGTATTACTGGCCTGACTGCGCGGCCAGTCTCGTCTGGAATAAAAACCCCTTCACCATCGTTTTCGATTTCTTTGTGCAAGTAACAGGCTTGCGAGTTTGTCTCCGGTAAGGTGACTGTTCTAAAGCATTTGTTTTTCTGGTGATGTTTCTGAAAACGAGGATTAACAGAGCTCAGCCCCGTGTTGAAAACACCAGCAGCCATGGGCGTGTTCCTTACGCCGTTGGACCGTTTCCCCTGCTGTTCGGCTCAGTGGCTCTTTGCATTTAACTTGCACGGGAAGAGATAGCCCAGCAATGACTTCTGTGGCATTGGTAAGATGGGCACTCTAATTTAAAAAAAAAAAAATAAATAAAATACCAGATTGCCTGAACTCTTTGCTGAAATCATCCGCTCTCATAATGCAATGACAAGTTGGGATGTTTCTGCAAACTAATGTAGGCGTGGCAGGAGGGTGGTCTGGAGAAAAAACCCCGTGTTGTGGCTGTGCCAGAGCTCAGTGAGAAGTAACGCGTCTTGCTAGAGAAGTACAGCTTACTTCTGCGGAAGGGCGTAACTCGTGTGTGCAGTCCCACCTACAGGGGTGCTCCCTGCCTTTTTAGAGATCTGCTTTTAATTAT